ATCCTTAATATCACAGTAGCCCTAACAGGAATAGTTAATATCTTAAGATATCACAGTAGCCCTAACAGGAATAGTTAATATCTTAAAATATCACAGTAGCCCTAACAGGAATAGTTAATCTCTTAAAATATCACAGTAGACCTAACAGGAATAGTTAATATCTTAAAATATCACAGTAGCCCTAACAGGAATAGTTAATCTCTTAAAATATCACAGTAGACCTAACAGGAATAGTTAATCTCTTAAAATATCACAGTAGCCCTAACAGGAATAGTTAATCTCTTAAAATATCACAGTAGCCCTAACAGGAATAGTTAATCTCTTAAAATATCACAGTAGCCCTAACACGAATAGTTAATATCTTAAAATATCACAGTAGCCCTAACAGGAATAGTTAATCTCTTAAAATATCACAGTAGCCCTAACAGGAATAGTTAATCTCTTAAAATATCACAGTAGCCCTAACAGGAATAGTTAATATCTTAAAATATCACAGTAGCCCTAACAGGAATAGTTAATATCTTGAAATATCACAGTAGCCCTAACAGGAATAGTTAATATCTTAAAATATCACAGTAGCCCTAACAGGAATAGTTAATCTCTTAAAATATCACAGTAGCCCTAACAGGAATAGTTAATATCTTAAAATATCACAGTAGCCCTAACAGGAATAGTTAATATCTTAAAATATCACAGTAGCCCTAACAGGAATAGTTAATATCTTAAAATATCACAGTAGCCCTAACATAGTTAATATCTTAAAATATCACAGTAGCCCTAACAGGAATAGTTAATCCCTTAAAATATCACAGTAGCCCTAACAGGAATAGTTAATATCTTAAAATATCACAGTAGCCCTAACAGGAATAGTTAATATCTTAAAATATCACAGTAGCCCTAACAGGAATAGTTAATATCTTAAAATATCACAGTAGCCCTAACAGGAATAGTTAATATCTTAAAATATCACAGTAGCCCTAACAGGAATAGTTAATATCTTAAAATATCACAGTAGCCCTAACAGGAATAGTTAATATCTTAAAATATCACAGTAGCCCTAACAGGAATAGTTAATATCTAAAAATATCACAGTAGCCCTAACGGGAAAAAAAAGGTATCTCAATTGGGAATTAGCCCAAACGGGAAGACACTGTCTGGTCGTCTTCCTTAGCCCATTAAGATGTGATAAAATTGGATGTCAAACTTTATTTAATTTCATTAACACAATAGAAAAGGAAAGATGTAAAACTCTATTTCATTTCATAGTGATGTTTAAAGATAAGGTAAACAACTAGAGAATCTGATGCTCGGCTGTTTACTGAGTTGTTTATTTTAACATTTCAACTAAACTGTTAACAGAGTCCATATTGTTTACTTGAGCCTTAAAGTGGTTTAGTAATGGCCTGAGTTTCTCATTTTCAACTCTTTAAACAAGTTCACAGTAGATTATCAAACGAATATATGATATATATAAATATATATTTACCAGCTGAAAGAGCTCAATTTTAGATATATGTATTGTCATCTAAATATTAACTATACCAGCTGATAGATCACTATTTCAGCTATCTGTATAGTCATCTAAATATTTACTATACCAGCTGATAGAGCTCAATTTTAGCTATCTGTATAGTCATCTAAATATTAACTATACCA